ATATATATATATATATATATATATATATATATATTTTACATGAACTTTATTGATTCCAGAGCAAAATACTTGTGCAAACAGAGGCTAAATAATCAGACCACGGATGAGCAGTGCAATTTAAATAAATGCAGTGGAAACAGATTTAAAAGTATGGAGTACAGTCAGCACACGAGTCGACTCCCGAACAAAACAACATTATGGAATATCAAATTCATAAAGAAGTTCAAAAATAAATAAAATAATCATCAGGGATTGACTTTACTGGTACACAAGTACGCTTTTGTGGTATAAAGGTTAACACTTTTGGTAATTTCTTGTCATTACAGGACAAATGTGTATTTATTTTATTCTATCCCTGATGATAATAATAAATTAGCCGATGGTAAAAACCCAGTCTTTTTTTTTTCAGGTGGACTTGAGAACCAGTTGGGGTTCTGTTGTTTGCAGCAATAGCTATTAACACATCTTTTTTAAACCTGTTTCTCACCCTGCAGGTCTTAGTTCTGGGGAACAAGCGGGATTTACCAGGGTCACTGGATGAGAAGGACCTGATTGAGCAAATGTGAGTGTTTATGTTGTCTGCTTTGGGTTCCCTGTCTGTCTGCAAATCTTTCTTAGGCTCCAGCTGCTCACACCACTTGCTGTTCTGCACAATGTAAATAAAGTTCATCACCATGCACTGTTGCTGCCATGAACTGCATGCAGATTCTTCCTGTGGCCTTTCTGACTGGATTTGATTTTTTGTGTCTTCTCCAGGAACCTGTCAGCCATCCAAGACAGAGAGATCTGCTGCTATTCCATCTCCTGCAAGGAGAAGGATAACATCGGTGAGTTTGTCCTTCAGGTTTTGTGTTCCGTTATGGCCTCCGCCCATCGATTAGGCATTGCCTGAATCGTGAGTCCCCTCCCATCTACGTTCTTGCTTGGCCAATGAGAAGATAGATGTTAGTCATCCACATGCAGGGATAGCCTGATGGCCTTTTGTGGCGACCCCCCACATATCATACATGAAAGGCTACTCCGCACCATTGATGGAATATTTTCTTGAAGTGAGGACGATTCCTGGAAGAAAGATGGACCGGAAAGGTAGTCTGTTTAATTGGAGGAAAATACTTTGGGAAAACTATTAAATGGTTCCCTGTATATTAAATTGCTGTTATGTGGAGTGCAACAATGAATACTTGTATTTATAATACATGCATTCATTTGGCAGATGCAACGTAATCTCCAAGAGAGACAAATACATAACAAGCAAGGTGCTGACGGAGTAACTTGGGTACAGGTGTTGCTAGGATAAGCTTTCAGTGGCAGAGCAGAAACAGCTGCAAGATGGTTGTGGAGAAAAGATCCTTGCAAACATCTACAACCTCGCGTCAGAAATACTCTGGAGGCTGTGGATATATGTTGCGTCTCCCTACAAATATATCCCTAATAAAACCTAGTTGAAGCTCTAAAGTCTAACTCTAAAGTGGAGAAACACCTAAGAGTGAGCATGTATGCTGCTGGATGTAGGATGTCTTGTTTGCAGGGTCAGAAGCAAAATTTGATGTAACCTGGGTGTTATTTGTCTTCTTCCTGCCCTTTGACTGGCTGATCAGATGGGGGCCCCCTGGTGGCCACTGGGCCCCAAGAATTGCTTTCTTCGTTAATGATATGCATGTACATAATTTCTAAAACGTAACTGGTCCACTTGCTTTTACTGTTTTTACTTCATGTAGAACTGGATGGGAAATGCCAGTCTGTCCCCCTGCACTGCCATGTATAACCCTGTCTCTGGCCTGTCTCTTCCTGCTCACATGCTCACAGACATCACGCTACAGTGGCTGATCCAGCATTCGAGAACAAGGAGAAGCTGAGTCACCCAGCTTCCTGAAGTCCTCCTCGCTTCTGATCTGCCCCTGTCACCCTCCCTACTTCCGTCCCATCCCTCTTTTCCTGACCCCGTCTTGTCCAGGATGTCTCCATCTTTGTTCCATCTTAATGGCCTTTGCAAGGTTAATATCATCAACTTGGTTCCATTTCTGTAAAGATGGGACAAAAAACATTGTTTGCACTTTTTTTTTTTTTTTTTAAATTCTATCTGATTGTCTTAATGGATTTTACTTGGGTACATTGACGCTTGTTGCATAACTTCTGGATGTCACTCTTTTCTAGCATTAATTGATTGGCCAGAAGCAAAGGAGATGTTTGAGTTCAACAGTAAGACCTTTCTGTTCCTCTGTCATCCAGTGCATTTAAATGTAGAAACCTTACTAAGGTCATCAACATTACAGTCTCAGATTTTGTTGAAGTTAGCCGGTCGCTGTGGGAATGGTTAACCAGATCATGTCATTGCCCTGAGCAGTCTGAGAGCTTTGAGGAGCTGAGCTTGTCATCCTGGGCCTAGCTTCTGTACCTCAGCTTTAACATTGCGAAACCAGGGCTCTTTGTTGCAGGGAGAAATCTTTCTTGTATGATGACTGGTTTAAAATAAGTGCTTTGGAAAGCTTAGGCGCTGAGACACTAAATGTCTTAAAATCTAGTGCAATATTTAACATTAATTTCCACATCCTGTGAATGGCGGGCAGTAAGGGGTAAATATATTTAGTACGTGGTTGCACATTTGGTATAAGGTTTCCATAGGAATGCTAGACTGACATCATCTTTTGACTATGCAACAAGTTTTTCAGTTTGTTTTAATTTCTAAACATGCAGGACTAAACTGTTTCAGTTTTAAACAATTAACACTTGCCTGTCATTACTAAGCCATGCCGGATCTCAACAAACCTGATCAATACTGATATCTTTATTTCACTGATACTTTTATTTATATATATATATATAAGACCAGCCATTTTCCTAAAACTTGGCTCTCAAAGGAACACTTAAGGGTCTCGTTTTATGGTTTTTGTCACTGTGTTCTTAGAATATTGTTCTTTTATAGAGCTTTTTATTGTTTCCAAATTATTAAAGATAATGTCTAATGGAATGACAAAAAATATAATAAAGAACATTGTTGCACGTGGGCAGGTACAAGAGAACCTTGCCAGTGGAGGTTTGCTGCGAGCAGGAAGTACATCAAATAAATTAGTCTAGTTATGAAAGTATTAGAGGAAAAACTGATGAGAAATGTCACTATTCCACTACACATTCGGATGCATTTTAACCATATAACACTTGGGTGGGAAGAGGGTTCATGTCATATTGGGGTCTGAGTAGTCATTGCTGGGGTCATAAGGTTACATATCAAATGTGTTTCATAATAGTGGTTTTCCCAATAAAGTTTGGTTATCCTGTAATTTCAGTGCAATCACGCAGAGTAATAAAATAATATAAATGTGTCAGTTTGCCTGTTTCATCTCATTAATGCCATTGTTAATTTTGTTTTTAGTTCACATTTGTAATTTATGTAATGTCAAACTTTTGTTTACAATTTGTGGACGTTCCCTTGGCTGTGGCTTTCGAGCTTAAGGTATTAAGCGGTATGGATTGTCAGGCGATGTAAAGGATGGATGCTGTGATTGGCTGCATCAGAGTGCCAGGGACTGTGCAAATCCTTGTAAGAGAGAAGCTACTGCTTGTCTCTGTAAAATCCTAGAGCTGAAACATTTATTCATATACATATATAATATAATGTATGAAACACTGCGGTGGTTATTGTTGCTCTCAGAACAGTCTTGGACCGCTCCTAGCGATGAGTAACTTGGCTGACCGGTACCTGTCTGAATTCACAAGATAGACTTTGACATCGACATTGCATGATTTCTGTTAAATGCCAAGCTTACTTGCCAATGTCCCTTTCAGTGTGTTGACCTCTTTGGCTCTGTCAACTTCATCTGCTGCAGTGTAACCTTCAGGAGAAAGGAACTTTACCGATATCAGGATGAATATCACATAGTTGTCCGTAACCTGAGTTAGTTTAAAAACGTTTTCTGTTTTGTGAAGTAATTAATCCTTGTGCTTACATCAGTTGTGTTGCGTTTTATTAATTTTTTTTTAGTCATTTGCACGGTACTACTTACATCAAGTGTCTGTCATATTTAATATTGGTACTGAATAGCGACATGTTATTGCAAAAAATGTTAAATGTTTTGATTATTTTTTTTAATAAATTCATAATTGTGCTTATGAGATCTTGTATATAGCTACTTAAAACCAAATGGGCTGTTTCTGATATGGCGTCATCTTGCTTGTGGAGGTGAGGTTGAAGAATGTCTTTTGATGTGTTATGGCCATTGAAAGGATGTTTGCACCTGATGTGCAAATACACTGTATCCTTAGATATTTAGATCAGTAGTTTAAAAGGGGGTTGAATTGCCTGAGTAAAGCGAATTTCTGGGCTTGGAATGTGCTTCCATTGAACAGCCATTCTGACTGGCTTTGGAATGTGCTTTTTAATAGTTTGTGATTGGTGTTTGGAATTCACTTTTACTTTTCAGTTCTCTGTCGGTGAGAATTTTGTTCTCTTATGCCACAAATGGTCGAGCTCCTGAGAAGGATGTCAACGTGTTTTCTTGTTTTCTTCTAAATAAAAGGCAGCTATCGCTATTATGTTCCCACAATGCACTCAAACTGGAAGATGAAATGTCAATATCAATTGCTTGGAACATGGAATTTCATTGGGAGGCTATTGTTGACTTAATTCTGCACACTGTCATGTGGGGGAGATTTGACAGCGAGGTGAGGGTAGAACAGCATGTATGCTTGTTTGCAGTAGGATTCTAGATGAAGTTGACATTCACCAAGAGAGAATGAACTGGTGTGATGCTCTAAATCAGTCATTTATTTATTTATATATTTTTGACCAGAGTGGTTGACCAGAGGATAGTCTAACACGGGACCTGGTTTGTGGGCTACCTGTCTTTCCTTTCTTTTCTGCCTCTCTGTGTTCTTTCCGTCCGTTCATCCCACATAAATACTTCTGTCAAGCACCCCAAGAGGAAGCTGTGAAAGGAGCATGGTCCAAAATAACGAGGAGAAAGGTCTCCATGCTCCATGTGGGGTTGGACAGCTGGATGTTCATGTTCATGGTTGTCTTCAGAGGCTCCACCCCCTGAACTGCTGTCATGGAGATCATCGACCAAGAAGTATTACGCCATTCATTCTTACGTTACATGACAGTTCTTCAGAACGGTGTTTCTTAAATATGTATAAAATGTATTAACATGGCTGCCCCCTTTTAAAGTTTGTTTTGCATTAAAATGAACTTTTTAAAATGACCAATATATTCCAATATAACCAGAGAACTTTGTGTTTATGTTCTAAAACTTAAAAAAAATTAAAGTTTATTTTATCTCTCTTTATATTACATTGTTCTGCCAGTGATAACTGTATTGTTGCTATTGTTATCTTGAAATAATTTACAATAATAAATAAACAGTTTCCCACAAAGGAAAAACTGGCTGGTCTTTTTTCTTCTTTTTTTTCTAATACAGTAAAATCCCGTTATAGTGGATTCGCATATAACGGAATATCGTCTATAACGGACAAACAATTAATTTGGTCCCCAGGGCCGCTTTTAGCTGTAGTTTTGTTCGGCTATAACGGACATGCCGGCGATATCCAGCGCAGATACGTAGTCGGGATTATTAATAGTCACGCATCTGGTCAGGTGAAGTTGGACTACTACATGTACAATATAATAATCTATACCACAAGTGTGTCTGCTGGGGTGTGGCATGAGTAAATGGTGTCCTGTAGTTGTGTTCTGGGCATACAGCAACTCTGGATATAACGGACTTTGGATATAACAGACTGTTTTGCCAAGTCCCTTGAATTCCATTATAATGGGATTTTACTGTATCGGTTTTTGCGTCAATTGGGCAGATGTGGGTTATTTATTGGGCATATATACTAATATGAAGGCGCTTTCAGAGAAAAAGACATGTTGAAAAAGGCAGAATAATTACAAAATATTTATAATTACATAATTACAAATTAATTATAATTGTGGATCAACGAAGCGTTAAGTAATGTGTGTGTTTTCTAACGAAACGTGGCTCTGCTGCGTGATGTACAACAACTTACATTAATGGGATGTTAAATGAGCTAATAAAAGCCAGAGCTTCAGCAAAACAAATCCTGATTTAATCGTAGAGAACAGTCTAATATCGTTTCTCTCAAATAAAGCCGGTGTTCTGACAAAACATCCTACCTCTCGAGACGTGCCATCGAGCCTTTCTGCGCATGTGCAGTTCCACCGTTTTGGGATTAGGGTTAGGTTTTAGGTGTTAGGGACGGGTTAGCGTTAAGGTAAGGATTTTAGGGGTTTTGGGGGGTTAAGGTAAGAGTTAGGGTTAGGACTATCGATTAGCACTACGGTAGGATGTTTTGATAAAGTAGGACGTTTTGTCAGAACTCCGGATTCACCTCAAAACAACTTCAGTGCAGAATACGTTGATATCAAGACAGGAACGGCCAATTCCTTTTTATCCAGCAGAGGGCAGCGTGTGCGCATGCGGTCGTGAGCAGAATCCGCCGAAGGAAGGGACGGGGAAAATAATGCCTCTTTTTCTGGGTGCTCCTCCTTTTCTCAAAAGAGACCCTGTTGGTTCCGTTGAACGGGATGATCCTTAATTTTAAGATATCCACTTTTGCAATTACTGTTTTTGTTTTAGCCACTAGATTTGTGGATAATAAAGGCTAGGCATTACACAGAATTTCATATAGTATTGCAGGGTGTTTTGACTATGTACAAACAGTTGAAAAGTAATGGGGAGAGTTAGTTCACATGATAACAGGAGAGAATCTTTAATTACTGCTATAATTATGGACCATGCTGTCCTAGGTGATGGGTGTTGTTATGGCAACCAAAACACATAGTGACATCTGCTCTCCAGAAAGCAGGCCAGTCTGTTAGGCACAAGGGCGGTCCCGCGAAGTATGAAGCTGATGGATGATGCGTCATGAAGGGGGGGCAGCAGACAAAGGGCTGTATTCCATGAAAACTGTGGGAGGTGGGAGAGTGATGACCCACATGTCCTGGAATGGCCCCACTGGGTGCCTCAATGTAGCCGGTAGCTTGGTAACTTGGCGGGGGGGGGGGTCCCACCCGAACAAAAGTGTCACTTTGGGGTGGAATAAACCTCTCCTGTCTGCGGCCCAGTGAGGTGGGCAGAGAAACATCCAGGGTCATGGGATGGTTCTGCATGAGTAGGATGGTGAGGTTCATAAAATGCGCCCCCCCCCCCAGCGCCAACCTTCACAAAGGCTCCAGTTGTGCGTGGCGATCATCCCAGAACGATGTGTTCAAACACAAGTAGAACGCAATTGGTGGAAACAGCACAAACCTTTTTTTTTTTTTATTGTATAAAGGGTTTCACAATCATTAAAATGTATGAACTGGAGGAGTCGACTTGCTCTACAGTGTATTGAGACAAAAGCCTCCATTTATACAAATGGTTGGGTCTTTTTACAGATTTTTCACAAAGACATTCAGTCTATTCCTCATACTGAAAACAAAATGCTTATGTGGACGCACATTATTGTAAATGAGAAATACTGTTTCTGGTGCTGAATGTTACCCTATGTATACTAACGTGAAAAGAGGAAGACATTTCTGGATAATTGTCTAATGTGGATGGAGTCTAACAATGCTTCACTTCTATCAAGCAGAAATTTTGGTTTGCCCTGTTAAACGCTGACAGTGTTAAAGCTAATGGTACAGAAATCAGCCAGGACTGGGCCCTGAATGTACTTTCTGGCTTCGCAAGCACTGCAATGTTTGGTGAAACCTCCCCATGTTGGAAGAGCAGAGTTTGAACGCAGGAATGTGTTATTGCTTTACAACGCTGCTGCAGCAATGTGGGGGAAACAGCAGCCTCTTAAATGTCTTTAACGTCACCCAGTGACACTTGAGCACGCAGGACAAAGAGAACGGACAGTCGATAGCACATGTCTCAATGGGTCCAAGGCAGACAGTTAAGAGTCAGTTTCTGCCCGTCTGTGTGTGCAGTAACAATATTAGGTCAAAGGTCAGTCCATCTCCATCGAGAAATGGTCCAATCTCTGTTCAGACAGATAGAGCCAACATTGAGCCGCAAATCCCTGCTTGCGGTTGGCTGCAGAGCTGACGAGTCAGAAAAGCCGCTTTGAGCGGTATTTTGTACTTCCTGTGGACCAGCAACCTTGAGGCACCATGAAGCTAAAATAATCAGAGCAGGACTAACTTATCTACTGTAAGCCTAATACCGTTAGTGCTCATGACGAACAGTTAATGATGTTACTTTCACAACGAACAAAATAGCTAAATAACAACTTGCGGAAAGGCAGAAATGTGTTTTTTTTTTTTTCATATGTGGTAAGATGACCTACAGATTAGAGCAGTGTTTTGTTAGCCCGGTCCTCGTGGGCCCCCAGAGAGTTCACGTTTTTGCTGCCTCTCATCAAACTGTCTGACCGGAAGCTGGGAGGGAGCAAAAATGTGGACTGGGGTTTCCCAAGGACCAGTTCAAGGAACACTGAATTTAACCTAAGGTTGTGACAGACAGTGGGCAGAGATATGACAGGAGACCACTTTTTTTTGGGGGGGGGGGCGGGGCGGGGGCTCAGGATTATTACTCAGAAGGTTAAGATGGAGGGAAAGTGATAATTGAGTGGCCCTGATAAAGAAATAACATACCCATCCACCGGGGGCAGCGTGCAATGGCTGCCTTGTATGAAAGGTGCCTCACGGTACAGTGTGGGTAGGGGTGCTGCTTCAGCATGGGGTCCCTATGGCCATGTCAGACAGACTGCGCATGCTCTTAATGAGGCGGACAGACGGAGGTCCCGAAGCCTGGACCCCGCTGATGGGGGCGCTGGAGGAAGCTGTGGACGGGGTGGAAGGCGTGGAGGGTGTGGTGGGGGTGGAGGAATCGCTGTCAGGCAGGTGGTCTACGCAGCAGCAGCAGCAGCAGCAGTCGGCGAAGGCTCGGCCGAGCGGGCGGCACAAGCACAGCAGGAGGAGGGGGGTGGCTGAAGCCCGGGCAAACAGAAGGAACTGGGCGACCAGAGCCAGCAGCGAACGAGCGCCAGGGGGCATGCGCTCGGAGCCGTAGGCCAGCGCCGCACTGCAGCCACTGGCGGGCAGCGTGCACGCACCGTACACCAGCGCCAGCACCGTCACCACCGAGTCCAGCCGCCGCCCCCCATGCCACTCGGCGTGCTTGGGGCCCGCGGGTGGGGAGGAGCTGTCGTCGCGGCACGTGACCCGCCGAGTGACCAGCTGGCAGGAGAGTGTGAAGAGTACCGGCAGGCAGAAGTAGCACCCGAAGTGCCACCACATGCGTGCGTCATGATAGGTGAGCGCCAACGAGTAGACTGACTCTGGAAGGCTGGGAGATGGCCTCATGGAGCAAGACTCCTCCAGGACTCTAGGAGGCGCTGGAGTATCCTGGCTCACCTGCCACAGCAACAGCTCGGGCAGCGCCAACACCATGGAGCCCACCCACACCACGGCCAGCTTGGCCAGGATGGATTGGCATGACTCCAACCGCTGGGCCTTGGGCTGCATGCTGGTGGCCGCGTGGAAGCGGTCGATGGCCAAGGCACACAGGCTGAAGGTGGTCACACCCTGGGAAGACACCTGGACAGAGCAGGGGAGTTCTAACGCATCATAAAAAGCCTTAATTAATATATCTTCACTGCTGTTTCATGGAGCCTTTCACCCAAAGTAACTTATAAGGTTACCATCTCAATTCTCTTCTCAAAATAAAGCAACACAACCTCTCTAGGACATGAACTTGCACCGTTCACAGGATACTCTTCTTTGTTACTAACCACGTTCCTAAGTACTAAGGCCTTCATTTCTTGACAGCAAGGGGTTTTATGTAAACAGATGATGTAGCGAGGTCATGCAGCTGATGTAGTTGCTTAGGAAGCTGAATTTCTTGGGCGGTAACTGTTTTGCATTGTTAACAACAAAATGATGCACAATGATTTATTTGTTTGCATCCTGCCTCTTAAGTTTAATTACCTTTCACAGCGTTGGTATGCTTGTAGAGCGTCCTAAGTATGCAGTTTTATAATAGGAATGCATCGTTTTTGAATCATACGAAGTGCTATTTCATGGGAGCGGTCTAATCCCCCTTCAGAGGCTTAGTGACCTGTACTCCGCTCCCATCGTGGTCGATATCGTTTATCCAAACAGACAATTTGCATTCGCGACTCATTTACATAATAATAGACAAACTGCAACAATAAAGTCAATGCCTGACAGCCTGCGATTTCACAGACAAGTAACTGTGCGGTTTTTTTCCACAAATACACTGACCGAAAGCAGACAAATACTGAATAGTGAGGCATTGTGAAGACAGCACCGCGGCGCTGAGCAGCTGCGTCTTTTCTCTGTGCTGCCCCCTTAAACCGAGTCCAAAAAGTATCAATGAACTTTAATAATAACCTACATTTATATGGAGCATAGGACTACTCAAAAACTCACCTCTAGGTAAGGCACGATCTTGCAGGATACGTCCCCCAACAAGCGTTTCTTGGTTATCTCATTGAAGACCACCACAGGCAAGCAGGAGAAAAGTATCAAAAAATCCCAAAAAGCCAGACCAGCCAGGATGCAGTTCCAGGCGCTCTTCATGTAATAGTTGTGCCACACGATGCACATCACCGCCAAGTTGCCGACGATGCCCACGGCAAAGACGATGAGCGACAGGAACATCAGCCCGTAGGCGCTGTAGGCGCTGTCCGTTACGGGATACAGCGGGTTGTAGATGCGCTGCGTCGCCCTCTTCGTGGCGCTGCGGTTCCCCGAGTCATCCGTCTCAGGAGCGCCGCTTGCCCTTTCCCCGCTGTCGTTATCCAGTGTCCATGGGATGTTTGTGTGCTTGGTAGTTTTTGGTGTAGTAGAATTGTCATATTTGTACCTGTGGCTGAACGGAATCTGTTGGTCAATTGCATGGATGCTCTTCAACTTTGCGCCCCGCGGTACTCTTCTGTGCGTGGGGTCGGATTTAAACAGAGGGGTATCATAATTTCCTAGCTCATCATCCTTATTTCTATACACCCCCATGGTCGAGTCATATTCCCATTTTGATAAAACGGATGTAAGCCAGGTAGGAGTTCTTCCCAAAGACAATCGTTGCTCGTCCTGCGAAATGTTCAGAGAAGCAACACTTGCGGGCTCGGCCGCTTCCACCAGCAACAGCATCAGTGTCCAGAAGTGTTTCATCGCTCACAGTTTTCTCAGGTTTCCTATTCGTCGAGTCTTTCCTTGAGTTTGACCGGGCAGTCGGACCTAATTTCGGGCTGGTTGACGAACGACGCGAAACTGCGCTGTACTCCGCAAATGCTGCCCTGATTAATGAAATATGCATGTGGGACAGAGGGGGTACATCAGACCCGGAGAAAGAACCACCCCAAACTCCCAAATCTTCCCAGCCACAGCCCACCCACTGCTTGGTCAGAATATGCGCTTATTTGTCTCACATTGCCGTTGCACCCCGTAGATCTAACCGTTACCCAAGTTAGAATTATTAATAGTCACATTACGTGCTTTATACATATCACTCTATATCTGTATACAGAGTCTTATCTCAAGTAGGTATGCGTCGGTAACGTGCTGTTGTTCATCATGCTTATTGTTTGACCAATATGTATATCGTTTTAAAAAGGTGTCACGGGAGCGAGGCATGGTGCAGGCGGGGAAAAGGTGACGATCCACTTGAGGGTCAGAGACAAACAAGGGTTTATTAAGACTAACAAAGAACACTGGGGGAAACCAAAAACAGAGAAATAAAAAATACAGATTAACTAACTAAAGAACCCATAATTAAACACAACTATAGGGAGCAGGACTAAGTAAACCAAATACATACACAACATTTAACATCATGGAATATAGTCAATGAGTCACTGTAGAACAAAGCAGGGCAAGCACTTAAATACACAGTAAACTGGGGCATACAAGGAAAAGGTGTAAGACATAATCAATTAACCAATCAACACAGGACACAGGACAACTAGCAACAGAACAGAACAATCAACAAGGAACAGGTGAAACTAATAATTACATCAAGGAACTCAGAAACTAGGGAACAGAATCCAAACACTAGGGAAATAACAAAGACAGGTAAAAACACAACCAAGGGCACAAAGCAAAAAACTAAAACAATGCAAACCACAAAACACAGGAACTACAAAAGCTGATACAAATGAAACACTAGGGAACAAAATCTACTAAATACAAAGGTGGTTGGACTCAAACATATAACTGTGGGGTTTACTGGTACATGCTCAGCCCATAGAGCCATGCAGTGGTCTGGGGAGTTGGGGAAACACAATAAGGACTTGGAGGACAGGATAGCCAGCGACATCTGCTGGCCAAATGGGGAGGAGACGCGAAAGGCTGGGACATACGGATGCTGACAAAAAGGGTCTGACATAAACATCCGTGGAAAACAACCTGAAAGAGCTTTGAATATAGAGAATAGGCCTAGTTTAGTTAACTAAGGAAAAACTAGTCCCTACAAATAAAATAGGCCTAATAAAACAAACTTTTGTATTGAACATAAATAGGAGTCTGTGTGCTCGTGTGTGTTACATATTCATATTCTAATGATCTAACATTGTTGCTTAATTCACTGAAGGTGCTCGTCCTCAAACTAAGAGTGCAAAAAAGGTCACCGCCTCTTTTGTTCAATAAATGCACTCCTCTGTAAACCATTCTAAGTTCCCAATGTTACACATAAACTTAACGTTCCAGAAATATGTGCATTAGTGTCTAAAGTGTTGAAATAAGCATTGAAGAAAATCAACGCCGTATTTTGCATATTTAGGCAGCTGCTTATTCCGTTTATGTTTCGCGCATCATTTTATTTGTTCAGCCAGTGATCTTTTAAGCACCATTGGTTACTTAAACCACAGAATTCTTTATTACTCTGTGTACACGGCCTAGGGCACTGTAATAGACTAGTATTGTATACAGGTGTAAAATTATTTATGCTGCCGTTTACTCACCAAGATTATTCTTTTAACTAATCAGACCGGCATTTCACATTGGGAAATTCCTTACAAAGCCACTGTAGTAGTTCATTTTTAGCCGTGTTTGAAAAGAAATTACACATTTTTTTTTTGCCATTTGTACAAGTACATAAGAATTCTTTAGTTTTCTTTTGTCCAGCCTAGCTCTCCTTGGAGACATACATAAGGTCAGAACACTCGGTCAGCCATTAGACTAGATTAGAGAGCATGTGCTTTTACAATCACCAGAAGTGTCACATATTGTTAATTGAGTCTCGTTTCACTCATAGCTCTCCAGTGCTGTACAACATATATAGGTGCAAAAGTTTTTCATTTCCCGCTGGTTGAAACTCTGGTTTCCAAGTAACAAGTTGTTCCTTTTTCCAACAGTGCCATAACGTTTTGCAAATATCGGACAAACATTTTTTTCATTGTGCTGCAAGATGTCTTGTAGAATCAAGTGACTGTGCATATGACACTCGAGGGTCAAACGCAATGAGCACCTTTATAGAGCTTTGGAGACGGGCTGTTACAAGGTGCACCTTTTATTGGCAAAGGGCGGGTTTATGGACTTTTCCGTGAAGCTCAAATAGAAACACGTGATGAGTTCTCGGAATGCAGATGAACACATTTCTGGCAGCTGCGGGAAAGCAGATAAGCTAAATGTATAGCTAATGAGAACGTAACCGGGAAGGAGAATAATTCAGAATAATGTTAACAGTGAGTTGTATCAAAGCGTTATCCACTGATTTCAATCGGAAGTCGCTAAAACATGTGAAAAGTCGCCTGAAGTCAATGAGTGATGACAATTCTCCTATTTATATATTAATATTTATATATTAACCACCTCATCTCTCGAAGTCTGGCACCAACCACCAAAGTAAATTCCTTGTATGTGTGAACGTACTTGGCAATAAACTCGATTCTGATTCTGATTCTATGTATTGCACTATAAAAATACATTAAAAATGTGAAAAAATGACATAAATACCATTATTATAATTCATATTAAATGGGTGTTTTGTGCCAAGAGTAGACTATATCTTTCAATATTCCCGGGAGAGTTTGTAGTCATGTTAACCAAACGCTGACTCCTAAGTATTTAACCAAGTTTCTGGACATTATGCTGTATAATGATGCAGGTACAGATCTAACAAGTACTTTAGCTAGATGTAGAGGGACAAGAACATTATTATGAATCCTACATGTTGTGCTCAAGTGGCTCAGTTGTCAGCTTAAGCTTATATATACTCAGCAAAAAAAGAAACGTCCCTTTTTCAGGACTGTGTATTTCAACAATAATGTTGTAAAAATCCAAATAACTTTACAGATCTTCATTGTAAAGGGTCTAAACAATGTTTTCCATGCATGTTCAATTAACCATAATCAATTAATTAACATGCACATCCGAATATCACACCTACGTGACAGGTACAGGATGGCCACAACAACTGCCCGAGTCACACAAGGAACACACAAGCCCTCAGTCCAGCCTCTCTCAGCCTATTGCGGACAGTCTGAGCACTGATGGAGGGATTGTGTGTTCCTGGTGTGACTCGGGCAGTTGTTGTGGCCATCCTGTACCTGTCACGCAGGTGTGATATTCGGATGTACCGATCCTGTGCAGGTGTTGTTACACGTGGTCTTCCACTGCGAGGATGATCAGCTGTCCTTCCTGTCTCCCTGTAGCGCTGTCTTAGGCGTCTCACAATGCGGACATGGCAATTTATTGCCCTAGCCACATCAGCAGTCCTCATGCCTCCCTGCAACATGCCTAATGCACGTTCACGCAGATGAGCAGGGACCCTGGGCATCTTTCTTTGGGTGTTTTTCACAGTCGGTAGACAAGTCTCTTTAGTGTCCTGCGTTTTAAGAACTGTGACCTTAAATGCCTACTTTCTGTAAGCTGTTAAGGTCTTAACGACCATTCCACAGGTGTATGTTAATTAATTGATTATGGTTAATTGAACATGCATGGAAAACATTGTTTAAACCCTTTACAATGTAGATCTGTAAAGTTATTTGGATTTTTACAACATTATTGTTGAAATACACAGTCCTGAAAAAGGGACGTTTCTTTTTTTGCTGAGTATATAAGCTGAGCTGCTACTGCTACAATGCGTAGGTTGTGGGTTCAAGTCCTAGTGAGCAAATATAAATTGTGACCCCTCTACTGTCAGTTGCTTTGGGTCGAGAAGGTAGATATACTAATGCAGGGCACAAAGGTTGTTAGGTTTGAAATAATCCCACTGGTCTGGAAACTCAGTAACACTAAAGCTAGAAGGACTGAATATGTGTTTGATCTGAGGTGTGGAGTATATTCTGTAAACTCTCTGTGATTGAGTCAAAGTGTGGGACAAGGGGTGAGGCATTGCTGTATTTAAAGGGAAACCAGCCTTCATCAATGGCCATAATCTAAAAATAACACCTGATGGGATATTCAGGGTGTGTCTCTTTCCTTTTGACTTTGTAACACCTTTGTTGATTGCAGCAGGGTACTTCTGTTTTAAAAAAAAAAATATAGCAGTGAGAACTGGTTTTCAGTTAATTTACCAGGTAAAATAAAGTTTACATAAATGACATAAATGCTCTAATAGTACACATAAGTTAGTGGTTTATTTATTGTTAGTTACTGTAATGTTGCGCTGCTTTATTTGGTTAATCGTCCAGTCTGTGAAGAAGGCATTCAAGTAAGAATTGCATTGTATCATTTCCTGGCACGTACAATTTATATTAGGTCAGCGTTTACGGTTCGACTTATGATATTCAGATCGAGTTATAGGTCAATCTGGTTTGTTCGACTTTCAAGAAATTCAAATTCTAGTGAGTTCGAGAACCAAGGTACCACTGTACTTTGAATGTAGCTAATCACAGATTTCTTGACATAAATGAGCTTCATCTTGCTGCATTAAACTCATAGCTTGTTTTCCATATACTCTCTGTAGATAACAATGTTCCCTGACGTGCTGCATTTTCAAATCATTGCCTTTCCTTCCAATTCTCCCCTTGAGGCAATGAGGCTGGTGAGTGATATTGATTGACAGATACATGGCCAAAACTGGATTGAAGTAATCCTTTAAATACAGGGTAATGCAAAACTATGTAACATTTCCTGCTTGTGTGCCGTTACCCCTGAATGCACTTACATTTCCATTTAAATCATAATTGATATAAAATAGGCCTATAAAAAATCAGCAAAATTCAAGGCCCTTTCTTCACATCACTGCCGTTATTTATGTGTCACAATAAAACAAGTAATAGTTTATCGGTACTTATAGGCCTGTGGCCTCAAACTACCATGGAGCCAATTAATTAAAACCACTGTTTTTTTTCAATATTTAAGCAGCAGTGAGCAGACATTTCAAACGCACTCTCAATTCACCCTTGTTACTAAAAACGGCAGTGTTGCCCGAACTTGGACAGCTTCATCTTTGCTGTTTTTGTTGTCTGGAAATCTGTTGTATAATTACAGATTGGACCTTTCACTTAATGTGAAAGATGAAAACGTGCAGGTGATTTTTCGTTTGATTTATGTAATGATTTTTTCCCCTCTGAATTAGGTCAGGGAAACATATCTAGCTCAGCATTTTTTTCTATCTATTTATATTTGTCCCAGGTTAGGCTTGTCTGTTAAGCCCCCGTAGAGACC